CATTATTGGAAGGAACAGAAACATAGCACTTTCCAGGAAGGATTCAATCTTGTTACCAGTTTGTTTTCCCTCACTTTATCTCTTAAGTAGAATACTTTTTAGAGGTGATACAGTAATATCGTACGGGGAGTATTTCTAGAGAAAGCAATATAGTATAGCAAAAAGGGCACCGATCTTAGTGTTAGAAATTCTTGTCTATTTTTGATTTTTATATCCACGTAACCTTGGAAAATCTACTTAAATTGTCTACACCTCAGTTTCTTTATCTCTGCAGTGTGAATACAGGTATTGATGCACATCACTGATACATGCAAAAATTATTTTGAAAAGTGCCAAACAAATGCAAATTTTCATTCTTGCCCCCATTCAGTTCAACAAACAGTTCAGTAACCATGCCCTAAGCACTGTCATTTGATTTACAAATGAATAAGCCTCAAATGCTGCCTTTGTGCTAGTTGCTGTCTATTGTAGACAAGGCAGAAAGAAAAATCAGGAAGGGAACCTGAAACATGACTGCCTGAGAGCTCAACTGCACATCATATTAGGCCAGACCTTTGGCTTGCTTTTGTTTTCCAAAGTGGTGACCACAAAACATGGTGGCTAAAGGGCTTTATGATTTACATTTTGGTACAGTTACTATTTATGAAGCATCTATCTTGTGCCAGCCTCTGTGCAAGGTATTTATGACTTGTCGCCATTTAACAGGTGATTAAACTGAATCTTAGAGAATTTAAGTAACTTGCTCAAGTCACAGAGCTAGTAAGACATAAAGCAAGAATTTACATCTCCCTCTCCTGCTCATAAGAGGAAAAAACAAAATGAGACTCAAACCACCACCTATCTAGTAGCCACAAAAGCAACTATTGCTGACCTCCGATAAGGGTTAGGAGGCTAAGCTAATGTGTGAGTAAGACACACATTACTTAAAGGAGTTAACTCCTTGAGTTTTATGGAGTTAAATGGAGTTAAATGGAGGAAGGTAGGAGATGGACTGACGTGGGGACCGGATGTTCCAAATTCTCCTCCCTCTAAGTATGCCCACATTTCTATAGTATGTTGTGCAGGGTGCCTGAGATAGGTATAGAGAAAGTGGTAGGAAGTTTGAAAAAGCAAAGTTAATTTTAGTATCTATAATCATGGTTGTCTTCATGAAGGAAGTCCTCTTGGAGCCTTTGAGAATGGATAGAAATAGTGTTGGTAGGGTCAGGAAGGAAAAGAAAATAGAAAGGAGAGTTAGAAGGGACAGTTCTTTAATTTACTCAACAAATATTTTTTGAGGACCCACTCTGTGCTAGGCACTATTCTAAGCACTGAGTGGTAAAGGAAACAGGCAAAAAAATCCCTGGTTTCACAGAGGTTACATTTTAATGGGTAGATGTTTTCGGCAATAAACAAGACAAATACATAATATTTTAGATAGTGGTAAGGAGAAAACTACTGTCGGGAAAGGAGACCCACCGGGAGTATGTGTGGAGAGTGGGACAGAGATGAGATGTAGCCAGGGTGTCCCAAGGTCTCACAGAGAGGACGATATTTTAACAAAGACCTGCACTTAGGAGGGAGCAGGTTCTGAAGACCTCTGTGGCAGAGCCTTCTGGGTAGAAGGAACAGCAAATACAAGGGCCCAGAGGCAGGGGCACCCCTGAATATTTGAGAATCAGCAAGGAGGTGAGTGTGGCTAGAGAGGAATAATTCAAATCAAGAGTGTTAGGAGATGGAGTCAGAAGCATGAGGGGTGGGGTGCCATGAGTCAAGTTCTCGTATGTCTCTGAAAGTCATTGCAAGGACTGTGGCTTTTACTTTCAGTAATAAATGCCACTGAAAAGTTTGATTGGAGGAGTGTCATGATCTGATCTACATTTTAAGGGAATTTCTATGGCTGTTGGGTTTAAAATTGGCTGGAGTAGGGGAGGAAGGGCAAAGATAGAAAATAAAAACAGTTTAAAGACTATTGTTATAATCTGGAAGAAGACGATGTATATTAAACCCGGTAGAACAACCAACAAAACTAAAAGGCAACCAATGGAATGGGAAAAGATATTTGCAAATGACATATCGGACAAAGGGCTAGTATCCAAAATCTATAAAGAGCTCACCAAACTTCACACCCGAAAAACAAATAACCCAGGGAAGAAATGGGCATGAATAGACACTTCTCTAAAGAAGACATCCGGATGGCCAACAGGCACATGAAAAGGTGCTCAACATCGCTCCTCATCAGGGAAATACAAATCAAAACCACACTCAGATATCACCTCACGCCAGTCAGAGTGGCCAAAATGAACAAATCAGGAGACTATAGATGCTGGCGAGGATGTGGAGAAACGGGAACCCTCTTGCACTGTTGGTGGGAATGCAAACTGGTGCAGCCACTCTGGAAAGCAGTGTGGAGGTACCTCCAAAAATTAAAAATAGACCTACCCTATGACCCAGCAATAGCATTGCTAGGAATTTACCCAAGGGATACAGGAGTACTGATGCATAGGGGCACTTGTACCCCAATGTTTATAGCAGCATGTTCAACAATAGCCAAATCATGGAAAGAGCCTAAATGTCCATCAACTGATGAATGGATAAAGAAATTGTGGTTTATATACACAATGGAGTACTACGTGGCAATGAGAAAGAATGAAATATGGTCCTTGGTAGCAACGTGGATGGAACTGGAGAGTGTGATGCTAAGTGAAATAAGCCATACAGAAAAAGACAGATACCATATGTTTTCACTCTTAGGTGGATCCTGAGAAACTTAACAGAAAACCATGGGGGAGGGGAAAGAAAAAAAAAGGAGGTTAGAGTGGGAGAGAGCCAAAGCATAAGAGACTCTTAAAAACTGAGAACAAACTGAGGGTTGATGAGGGGTGGGAGGGAGGGGAGGGTGGGTGATGGGTATTGAGGAGGGCACCTTTTGGGATGAGCACTGGGTGTTGTATGGAAACCAATTTGACAATAAACTTCATATATTGAAAAAATTTTAAAAAATAAAATAAAATCTTTTTTAAGTAAAAAAAAAAAAAAACAAAACCCAGTAGAAGTAGATTGGTATGAAGTAGTTTAATTATTAACGGTAGAAAAAATAAGAGTTGAGAAGGTATGAAGGAAAGAGGAGGGAAAAGCGACCCAAAAATATTTGATTTAATACCTAGTAGCATGGAGTTTACAGTGGAGGGGGGTCGGCAGGGGTGGGAAGTATGAAGCGAGCCTATGTAGAAAAGAAAATTATGAGAATTGAGTACTAAGCCTGGGTCCAGTGCTTAGTCCTTAAGTGGAAATGGGATTCCTCATCTTAAACTTATGTCAGGATGAGTTGTGCTGTTTTCTTTGTTTTCTGCTCAGGGAAAGTATCAGCATTTGGGCCAGCAATCAAGAAGGGGGTAATATGCCTCTACAGTTTGAAAAGTCATGAAAAATCATGCTACCTTTAGAAAATTCCTTTCTATCTCTCTTACAGAAAACTTTTTTCCCAAATGACAAGCTCTGTCTTTATTTCAGCTGTCACTTTTGCCTTCTTTCCATGTTCTCCCTATGTGTCTCAATCTTCCCCATTCTTCAGTTACCAGCCCTGGTAGTAGATTCTGCCTCCTGAACACTTCTGCCCATAACCATGGCCTCTACCTAGGCAAGGCCACCTTCAGCTATCATGGGGATCATCACATCACTTCTTCATAGGTCTTTCTGGCTCCACTCCTGTAGCCCTTTTAATCTTTCTCCATGCTGTAGCCAGATTAGTCTTCCTAAAATAGAAATCTGATCATGACCCTACCTAAACACTGCAAGGGATCCCAGTGATCTTAAGATAAAGTACATCATAAAGTATACCAATCTCAATGTGGTTTAAGCAGCCCTTCCCTCCTCTACTTCTCTACCTCTCTCCATTCTCTCATCTCCCATATCATGTTCTGAACATTCCAACCTTCTTAAAGTTTCCCAAACACAGCACGCTCTATCTCATCTATGAACCTTCAAACACACTTCCCTCCACTCTTCATCCAGCTGATACTCAGCCATAATGCTCAGCCTCAGTGAGTCTCTGGGTCTGATGCCCCTCCTGACTCAGTCCTGCCTCAGGACTTACCAAACCATACTGCAGTGGCTTGCTGAGATGCTCACGTGCCTTCTTGACTCTAGGGCAAGCATCAGGCTTATCTTGTGCCACATATGTCCCTCGCTCCCAGCAAGTTCTAATCAGTCATAAGTAACAGAAACTCATTCCATACTGCATCAATAACCTATAACAAATGTTAGTTCTTTAATGAAACTTTCCCAAGAGCTGTCCCTTGGAAGGGTAACTCGACATGTGTTACAAATTTATCACCTTCCACCTTTTGCTGTGGTTACATAATTTATCTCTATTATTGAACAAGTTCTTCTTAAGTGCCGAATCCATGCCCAATTTATCATTGTTTTGTCCCTAGATCGTCTACCATTTTTTTATGTTCAGACTCTAACAATTAATTGATTAATGGAGTATAAATCTTATATTTTAGAATTTCCAAATAGGCCGGTTTATGGAGAGAAAATGCTTTGAGGTTGCAAGGGGTGCATGATAAATTCAAGCAGGTAAGTTGAGACAAGATGGTAGAAAATATAGTTTGTTTAGCTATGACTTACTGGTTTGGAAGCTGGAGATGGGTTGTGGATTTCTAAACCAAGGAGGTAATATTATCATAGCTGAGTACTAAGGAGATTAATCTGTCCTTAAAATAAGTTTATGATACAGAAATACAGTGCTTTCCTGCATCCATCTCCAGGATTGGTAATAGAGGAAGTGAATCTTGGTACTGTTGGGGATTCGGGTCTTTCTTCAAGGTTTTTTGGGGGGAAAAACTGGAAATAGAAGACAATTATTAGACATACGAATTTGGGACCTCTATCTTTGTATTTACTCTGGCTCTAACTCTGATAAATTGCTCAGTGAATGCTCAAGTTATTCAGAATCCATGGATATAGCTATAGCAGAATTAAATCTCATAGTTAATCCATAATTTGTTTCTCAACAGGTTCTCTGACTCTGAGAACACATCACGTTCAAGATTCCAAAATGGGATTTGTGATCAATGCTATCTATTCCATGGCCTATGGGCTCCACAACATGCAGATGTCCCTCTGTCCAGGCTATGCAGGCCTCTGTGATGCAATGAAGCCAATTGATGGACGGAAACTTTTGGACTCCCTGATGAAAACCAATTTTACTGGGGTTTCTGGAGATATGATCCTATTTGATGAGAATGGAGACTCTCCAGGAAGGTACTGTTCTGATTCTCTCCCAGACAATAGCACCTGAACAATCATCTCTTGATCCTAAGGTGTCTGTTTCTGTCTTTTGTAGTTATCTCGGCTTACTGGTCATATTTGGCCAGTTCTGACACCAGAAAGTGATGAAAGATAGGGAGGGGAAGCCCCATTTTCTGTAGCCAGGTACATTACTGATGCTGACAACAGACTCTTGGAACCATCATATTTCAGAGACCTGCACTTAGAGACAGGAGCCTCATGTTATTGTAGCAAATCAAAAGCCAGCCCTGTGGTTTCTCTGTACGTGTTTTCTGTTATTCTCTGTATTCTGCTCTCTTTTGGGGTCATAGAACTCTTCTGAAACATGAATGGTTCCATTTGTGGTAATTCAGAAATGGGGCTGAGGTGCTGTTACATTGTTTGCTGTACCTATAGTAAGTTATAAGTCATTTTATTATCCTGTAGCTGGAGGACTTTCTCCTTTCTCGAGGACTAAATTGCCTTTTCCTCTGAAATTCTACCTTTCATTATTTATAGAGGAGCCTGAGAAATATGAACTTACTGTTAATTATAGGTCAGCCTCCAGGGAAGTCATTAGGTACCTAGAACTTACCACTATTCACATCTATCTCAGACTCAAAATCCTTAAGTGACTGTACACATGAGACCTTTAATCCATGAGGGATAATGTTGTTAAAATGATATGCAGAGTTGTAGCAGGGCAAGGTCTTCACTCTGCCTTACATTGGCACAGTCAGGGTGCTCTGGTCTCCCACTGTAAAATCCCAAGTATTCTTCCAGCAACAGTTTATGCTTGACATGGTGTCTTTACACTCTGCAGCTGATCCTGCCAAGAGAAGGTTTCATGACTCCATGACTCACACCCCATGTGCCCACACATGTACCAGCCACCTTGGTTCTAGCTTGTTTCCACATTACTGAGGTGAGCTGGAGCTTGTCCCTGACTGCAGCTGTTACCATCTCATAAGCTGAGCTTTGAAGTGACAGTTAGTTCCAAACCATGCAGCCAAGAGCCAAGCTATATATTTTCTCCATTCTAGAGGCTTGAAGACTATTGCTCCAAGCAGGCGCTTTGCCAAGAAAAGCTGACTTTTCATATATAGTTTTCTTCTTTTTGGCTATTCAGTATATCCATGGGGAGTAGGGAATACAAGCATTCTATCAGGGCCAAAGAAAACTTCACGTTTGTTGTAAGGCTTCATAGGGCAGGTCAACCAGTGAGCTCAGTCTGTAGTCTCAGGTCAAGGGCTAGTCCCTGATATCTGCACATGGATGTACTATTCTTATGAGCATACCAATCGCACCAACATCAGCTTAGGACTTGTTCCTCAACTTTGATGACTACAGCTCCAATATTCAGAGTTTTCAAGGCATGTACCCAAGCCAGTTCCACAGAGCAGATAGTGAAGAAATGTCTCAGCTCTATTCCAATGGAAAAGCTTAATGGATCAGACAGAACATCACTGTCTCATTCATAATCCTCCAAATTTGCTGCAATAGGGTACACTTATGACATTGGTTCTTAACCTTTTTTAGAACACGAATCTCTGTTAAGACTCAAATGAAATTTATAGATGTTCTCTAAATTACAATATACATAACATTTTGAAAACAATTTCCCAAGAATTCACAATTGTTTAGAGATTCCAGAGTTACAAAATTATAAAGGTTTGGTATTACAGTAACCCATTAATAAATAAATCTGAATTGGACTCTGAGGGCATGAGCCAGATTCAGGAGGATGGTTTCTAACTTTTTATTTTTCCAATTAATCCAGTTCTATTTACAAAATAACTAAACTAATATTAACTGAACATGTGTTCTGAGCCAAACACTTAGCTAAGTCCTCTACATTTTAATCCTATGAGGTAATGTTATCATTCTCTTTTCCCACTGCAGGCTCACAAAGTGAAGCTTACAAAGATTAAATTACTTCCCCAAAGATACAGTCTAATACATGATAGCTCAAGATTCGAATTCAGTCTCCTGGACTTCATTCCTAACATTACACAGTAGCCTGCCAATTAATCAACCAGGATCAAAATTAAAAACCCACTGTTTTTTGAGAAATGTATTGGGAGACATTCTGTTGTTATTTCTGTGGAGTAAAAGTTATGGCTCTGTTGGAGCAAAGACATTCCAAACTGAGAAATGAACCAGAGGAGCCCTGGGGGTGACTAGGCAGTCCCCTAAAATGCCAGAGTCACAAGAGGAAGATCCTAAACAAAGAAAGCAGAGACAGGTAGCTCACTCTGGCAAACACACTTGGGGACTACTGGAGAATTCACTTCAACCACTGCTTCTAAACCTCACATCTAATCAGACTACTATTAGCCCACAATTCTTTAATGAAACCTTTGGGACCAGGTATGTTACAGAATTCAGGATTTTTAGATTTATAAAAGGTAACATAGTTATATAGTACCACCAGCATGCTGTGGAGCAGGCTTTAATCAACATATTAATATTTCTGTAGCAAAACACACAAATATTCACACAAAGTGTGATACATAGGCTATATGTAGCAAAACATACAAATATTCACACAAAGTATGATACATAGTGTAAATAGCCCCATTACAGTGCAGGTCAAGTTCTATCACCAGATGAGTTCAGATTGGGTCATGTTTTGTTGCCAAGTGAGTTATAAAATAACATAATTTTCAGAGCTCTAAGGTTTTCAGAATTATAGATAAGAATTACAGACCTGGACTACTTACCACCAATGGTATAGATCACAGGTCAGCAAACTGTGGTCTTCAGGCCAAATTGAGTCTGCTGTCTGTTTTTGTAAATCAGATTTTATTGGAATACAGTCAGCCTCACTTACTTAGATAATGTCTATGGCTGCTTTCACACTACACTGGAAGCGTTGAGTAGTTTCAACAGAGACCATCTCACAAAGCCTGAAATATTAACTATACCTTTACAGCCAAAGTCTTCTGACCCTTATATGGAGACCATTGAGAACTAAGGTTTATGAGGACTTGCCACTGCCTGGGACTGAACATAAATGGGCAGAGGAAACATGGAGTCAACATCAGACTAAGTACAACTGACTACTTAAAGCAAAAAATTTGACAATATATTGTGATATTTATAAGCATGGCTGTGTAAAGTATTTGGCAACATGGCATAAAGAAAGGGGGTATAGAATTATACAATGGCAGTTTCTTATCTACATTAAGAGACACAACATTAACTTTAAGTAGAATAAGATAGAGTGCATATTTAATCCCTTAGCAAGAGGAATATCTAAAAGACCAACAGAAGACTACTTTAAAATTTTTGATTAATCCAAAAGGTAAGAAAAGAAGAACACATGGACAGATGTGACAAAGAAAAAAAAAGACTAGAACACTAGAAATTTGAAGATACTGAGCTGGTTTGCACAATGGTTCTTAATATGTGGCTCTGTCCACGGAGGGTCCATAGAGATGATTTGTTTCAACTTCCTAACTCTCTCTGAGGTGAAAAAACAGTCTCAGAGAAAGGAAGAGGCATGCCCATTCCCATGCAGTCAGTTAGTAACAGAACAAGGACAATATACAATTGCCAGGCACAATCATTAAATTCAAATGAGAAGAATGTAACTTAATTTACACCCCCTCCATTTTCTTTATGTTACATGTGAAATGGTTCTATGTATATCCTGAAAAAAGATATCATTATTATTTATTAAAGGATTTGGTCAAAGCACAGGGTTGTGGTCTCTGTTTAATCTCTGATAATCCAACCCCAAATTCACAGATCATTATAATCACTTTGTTGCATGGACTTGTGTGTGGAGTGTCCATTTTGTTAACCAACAGACAATTTATCACATTTTTAAGAATTAAACTTTTAAAAAACACACACCTTAGAATTATATACTGAGCTGATCTGAGGAGCTATAGACATCTAATATTCTGTACAGTCAGTTCCCCTCACAATGTTGCAGTTCCCCTGACAACCTTGCTTCAGCCTCTTGGGTAAACAATACCTCACTATCTTCTGAGGAAGGAAGACTGCTCCAATTTTCAGGGACTTATAACTGCTTAGAAAGTTCTTTATTTCTGTTAAACTGAATCCTGCCTGCCTCTAGTTTCTACTTAGGGCTTTGATAGGACTTTTTTTTTCTTTTTGGTTAGAATGCATTTCATGTTTTATTTTGTTTTTGAATGCTATATAAAATTCATTTTTTAAAATGTTAGTGGGGCACCTGGTGGCTCAGTCGGTTAAGCATCTGACTTCAGCTCAGGTCATTATGTCGGGCTCTTTGCTGATAGTTCGGAGCCTGGAGTCTGCTTTGGATTCTGTGTCTCCCTCTCTCTGCCCCTTACCTGCTTGCCTGCTTGTGTACGTGTGTTCTCTCTCTCTCTCTCTCTCTCTCTCTCTCTCTCTCTCTCTCTCCCTCTCTCTCTCTCTCAAAAAATATTTAAAAATAAAAATAAAAAATGTCAGTATATTTCAACTGTAAATTGTGGTCAGTTAAGGAAGAGAGACAAGGGAAGGCAGAGAGAAAGGAGAAAGAAGAGAGATATTGCAGAAGACAGATCACACCTATCACACACAGTGATGAGAAAGAGGTTTCAGGAGCACAGAGATGTAGAAACCAAGAGGCTCAGTGAAAGACAGCAAGAGAGCAAGACAGGGAGAAAGAGAGGGAATGAAATAATGGGAAACAATTGCAGAAAGCTATTATGTGTTTCAATTCTTAGCTAATTAATTCTTCTCTCACTTTTGATGGAGAATAAAATCTATATCCTATCTCTGAAAATTGAAAGAATTCATATCAATTGATAAGTGAAGGCAAAAAAAAATATTTTTCATGGAGAATTATTTTTACCTAATTTTTTTCTAATATACTGCTACCAAAGATTTTTACAGTAATGTTATATTTTCATCACTACAACTACTAATGATAATATATCTGTATTTGTCTTACAGATAAGAAATAATTACCAGAAATCTGGAGGCTAATAATTGCATGGGGAGGATTCATTCTCTCT